GCTGGAGGAGAGAAAGACAGCTCGCGAGTTGATAGATCTTCCATGACTCAAGCTTGGTAATTGATCTACCGCCCCGTTACATTTGGGCATAGATGATGTATTAAGGGGTCTTCGTTGTCGAACAAAATTAGCTGGCCAGCTTTGTACACGCCGAGTGCTTCTCATTAGAGTGTCCACCACTTTAGTACTACTTACCTGAATACGATACTTAGTACTTAGTACTATCGAAGTGTAACTAAACAACCAATGCCGCTTCATAATTGGCCCCGCAGGCCGAACGTGGGCGGGGTATGTGCCTGAGACACCAACTGATATGATAATGTAGTACTACTTATCTCTGCACATTGATAACGCACCATCCCCCCACTTTCGTAAGTATGTATACCCCAGCAACTCCACATCCTTCTTTCATTAATACCACACTGGAATTCTCGATTCAGTCAAACTCCGAGCTATTCCATCATGGAATCCCAGGAATTCCTACTGATTCTCATGCCCTGTGCTTTCCCAGACACATGGATCGATAACCTGAAAAGCGCTGTGCCCCACATGCGCATCGAGAAACGCGAAATTGACCGATTTGCTACGGAGCTGCCCACTGACATCTCCCCCGAGACATGGAAAGAGGTTACAGCACTCTTTACCTGGAAGCTTCTTCCGCCCAAAGAACTGGCTCCAAGTCTACAATATGTCCAACTCTTGAGTGCCGGGTGCAATCATGTTCTGGGTACACAGCTGTTTGATGAGACAGACGTTGCATTCTGTACAGCGAATGGAGTTCATCCGTAAGTTTCGTTCAGACATATTCTGGAAGAAGGAGATAACTGACGGATCAGACCTCAAATCACAGAATGGGTGTTCATGACCTTCCTTGCCTTTCAGCACCATCGCACGTCGACCCCACCCATCGATAGGAACATAACACTAACGATGAATTAGTCCCGGCATACCTTGACAACCAGAAAGCCGGTAAATGGATCGACCCGACTTCGGATGAGGACACTGAGGATGCAGTTGGCCTCAGAGTGTGAGTGTGACTTTGAGTCTTTCAAGTATTCAGCAATTGACACACATATTAGTGGAATCATGGGCTATGGAAGTATCGGCCGGCAATGCGCCCGAGTCGCCAAAGCCTTTGGCATGGACGTCCATGCCTTTACACTACACCCCCGAGCCACTCCGGAATCACGAAAAGCAGATTCATATAGCGAGCCAGGCCTTGGGGACGAAGACGGTTCATTTCCGTCACAGTGGTTTTGGGGCAAAGATCAACTCAATGACTTCCTGGGTTCAGATCTCGATTTGCTGGTGATTACTGTCCCGCTGACTGGGAAGACACGAGGCCTGATCGGGCGGGAGCAATTCGCCCAGCTCAGCAAGAAGAAGGCTTATATTAGCAACATTGCCCGGGGAGCAGTGATCAAAACGGATGATCTTATGGAAGCCCTGGATGCGGGTCAGATCCGAGGCGCAGCACTGGATGTTACAGATCCGGAGCCATTGCCAGCTGACCATAAGCTGTGGGGGTATAAGAATGTCATCATTACTCCGCATTGCAGTGGGAATTCAACCCACTATAATGATCGTGCTATTAAGATACTGCAGAGCAATTTGGAGAGACGGGCTCGTGGACAACATCTGATCAACCAAGTTGATAAAGGCTTGGGATACTGATGTAGATGGATGAGAATCTAACGATAACATGAATATTCGCCCATAGAACTATAGATAGCTAGATAAATTAATGTTAGTATGATTAGAGAGCGTATGAAACTCAACAAGTCGCAGCACACCCTTCAGGCTCCCTCTATACCCCCGCTTATGCCTCAGGCATTACTATTTCAGGCGGTGAGGGTCTGCCCGACATATGGAGAAAGTGGCAGGCGGAAGTCAGCGCGCGGCGTTGATCACCGTTCCTTCCAGGCAGCGATCAGGGCTGATTGACTAATACATTTCGAATGGGGGAGTGTCTGTCTGTTGCATTGGCTATAGCATCTTCATTGTTCTCTTGCCAACTTATATCCTGAAGTCATCCACAATCAAAGCCACGGCCCAGATATTCAATTCGTCTGCGAAACTCAAGCTCCATGCGCCGACAGCCGCCACGTGCTTCAGTAATGCCGGGTCCATACGAGTTCCCCACTGCAATCAATTATTTTCCCTGTCAGTGGAATCAATCCCATTCATCGACCGTCCCACCCTGTCTGCTTAGTTCTCCACCCGCATCTTCACCCGCTTATCCTTCTGTACCCCTCTAATCCGGCTGAAGAAACTGGCATCGGGGAGGAACAGAAAAGATGGAAGCCCGTATTGGATCGGACAACGGCACTGGGCCTTCCGCTCCAACGTACGGACTCCCACATCTGATCGACGAGAAGCAGGAGGACAAACATCCATTGTTGCTTGTCTACCTGGCCAAGCAAACTCCAGCCGAACAAGCTTATCTGGCTCTTCGCCTGCAAGAGTTCTTCAGAAAGGAAAATGTAACACTGGCAAGATGGCAACCATCCTCGGGGCTGCTACGTCGAATCGCCCTCCATGGTTCTTGCCCAGACAGCCAGGCGAACATCCACGCAATGGCCATCTTAGCATATCGAGCTGGATGGACAAGATTCCTCGTAGCAGATGGCCTCACTCAGCGTCAAGTGCATGGGACTCTTCGCATGTGGGAGGATCCACTTTTGTCACTGGTTATGGTCGTTGTCAAGCCAGAGCCAGTTGTCTTAGCCCCAACGGGCGATTTTTGCGTCTTCGCTAAGCGGACCACTGTAGACGGGTTCAGCAAAGATTTTCTTGAAAAGCTTTCCAACTTGCAACCACCGAAGAGGTCGCTCATGCATAACATTGAACGCGATCGATATGATGATCCTGGCCTCACTCTCTATGACCCTGACCGGCCCCCATTTACCGCCGACAGAGCGACCTCTCTCAGTCATGAAGAACGGTTCAGTATTACCGCGGCCTTCTTGACAAAACACACACCATTGCCACCGGAGCTGGCGGAGCAAGTCCTGGACTGGCTTTCCATAGCCAACGAGAGTCCTATGTGGTTGCCGCCGTGGATATACCACAAGGAAAAGCACCTGAACATCTTTCTCCTGTTCCCAGCCACGCAACCCGAGCTTCATCATATCCAAACCCTCTTCCAGAACGTCATTGAGGACTACCGGAAAATCGAGCGCGCCGGTGTTCGGTCATATACCATCACTTTCATCCCTTGGGAATATCACAGAACCAGGTCTCGCCGTGACCTCGCAAACCTATGGGAGGCGTATCGGCTTAGAACAGGGGACAACTCAGCCCCATTCAATATTTACTTCCTTCAACAGATGCCCGTCGCTCAGAATGTTAACGACCTTGAACTAGGGATTGTCAAGTACGAACGAGGTGATTTGCCAAATGTGGCACGAATAACCCTGAAAAACATAATCCTAGACAGAGGACCCTGGATTGAAATGATGAGAAGACGAGGACAGGCGGCAGAACAGTACATGTACAGTCACAAGGTCGACCCGGAGCTACTGCGTCCATTTGACCAACCATTCTACCCCAATCCACCGCGATGGCTCCCAGCAAAGAAAGGGCAATACACCATACCAGTGTTTTATCTCACGAAAGGCCTCTCCCGGACCGAAAAATACGAGATAGAAAAAGAAATCCGCACGTTAGGCCAAGTGGAAGAGAGTCACTGGGGATCTAAAGTTGCATGTTACGTTCCCTGGGACGGTGAAGCGGATGGCACACTCGACGACGCCTGGAAGATCTTCTGGGAAGTCTTCACCTATCACGGAGAACGCGACAGCCATTTCCCTATCTTCTTCATAGATGCCCAATCGGCGATGGACGATACTGTCCTTGTTGTGCATCCGGACCATTTGTGGTTTGACCAGTCCAACTCTAGAGCGTTGGCAATGCTGCAGAACGTGATGTATCCTAGTGTACGTGGGCTTCAGTACGGTCGGGTGAGAGGTCGCGAGGCGCACACTATGCATTCGAATGTCAGCACCGGCAACATGTTCTTCGAGGAGTATACGCGACCCCAGCGCTTTCCGAGACCGGATTGGCCTTGTCATGGGTTTACGGCAGCGCAGGTGTGTTGATTACTGTTTTGTTCTTTTATTTGTTGTGCGGTGACCTCTTGGATATTCTCTGAAACTGTTGCGCTGTAGCCTTGTTTTCCGTTTCTGAGGACAGTCCTGATAGACTTGTTGTTTGGCAATTGCGTTCGCACCTTACTACAACTCGTGGTTCATTGATAAAACAAGTTATCAAACCACTAGCAATATTTTTGTCCATCCGTAGCACGAACATCCGAACCATCACGTCCGACGCGAAGCATAACTAGCTCTAAGAAGTCAATACCTAATACATACAATATACTTATTGTCAACCGAATAGGATTGTCAGGGTACAACAATACATCTGTCCTGAACAATACCATTATCACCTCCCATCCATCAATGACTTCTTCCCTGCGTATCTGTCAGCTTCAGCTGCCGTCGCATTAGCCAATAGTTATACTCAAGGCTTAAAAGTCTCAAATCTCCACTGCATCTAAGTGACCTGTTGTATATGACCAGAGTCTTCCACCCTTCCTTACTTTTATCCCTTCACCACTCGAAACCCGAGCAGCGATTTCGGGTGTCGGAACTCGAGTGGACCGACCCACTTTACATCTCGGGACTCGATCGAGTTCCGACATTCTGCCACTATGATCTGCCGCGTAAACTCGCAACTTTTTCTCAAAAGAGGATGGGATGTGATAATTCTTATTGGTTGTTCGGTGATATTTAAGATGGTTGTACCGTCGTACAGGGGCCGGGCCTCGGAGACATATGATTTATCGATTGGGTTCTGGAAAGGAACGGAAGGTATTATTGATCAAGGGGGCATTCTTATGTGATTATTTCAGGTTCAAGCTCAGGGAACAGATAGACAGGTGTTTTATCTTTATAAATTGACTGTCGACGGACGAGGCTTTGTTTGTCATTCAGATCATAGTTCAGTCTATTATCTGGTTGAGAACCGACCATGGAATCGGCTATTTCAGAGAATCTGACCCTCAAATGTGGGCTACAGATGAAGAATCGTTTGGTGAAGGCTGCAATGGCAGAACATATGTCTGACGGTGATAACCTGCCTACACAGCTCCATAATCGCGCTTATGGCGAGTGGGGACGGGGTGGTTGGGGTATGCTTCTGACAGGTGAGTGCCATACACTGTCTCCGTTGGCAGTGAATCATGCGCTGAGTTTGTGACAGGAAACGTTCAAGTGGATAGGATGTACCTTGGAGATGCGCATGACCTTGCACCAAATCCAGCTATCGAACCAGAGCTGATCCGCAGATGGAGCGAGTGGTCCGCTGCTTGTACGAAACATGGCACGCCAACAGTCATGCAAATCAGTCACCCTGGAAGGCAATCTCCCATGGGTGCGGGGTCGCGGTGTCTCACTGCAAAGAATGTAGCGCCCAGTCCCATACCGTTGAACATTGGTTCGAGAATCGTGGATAGGGTCGCGAGCTCGGTGATTTTCGGTACCCCGAGGGAGATGACCCAGAAGGATATCGATCATGTGGTTGAGCAGTTCGTTTATACTAGTCGGTTGGCATCACAAACAGGGTTCCAGGGAGTGGAGTTGCATGCAGCACATGGATACCTTTTGTCCCAATTTCTGTCGCCTACGGCGAACCTAAGGACGGATAGCTATGGCGGTTCGCCGGCTGGCCGTGTGAAGATTATTGTCGATATCATCCGTGCGATTCGCAAAACGGTTCCTGCGAATTTCTGCGTGGGGATAAAGTTGAACTCAGTCGATCATCAATCCGAAAGTGCATTGAAGGCCTGTGTTGAGCAGCTCAAGCTGATCGTTGAGGCGGGTGTGGACTTTGTTGAAATCAGTGGTGGGTCGTACGAGGATCCCTCGGTAGGATGAACTGTCCCCTTGGCATGTGGTTGGTTGCACAGCTGATAATTAATCAGATGATGAGTTCCTCCACATCATCTCAACAGCCCGAAAAGTCCGCTCGGACGGTGGCTCGGGAGGCATTCTTCCTGGAGTTCGCCAGCGCTATCCGAGCGCAATTCCCAGGGACTCCATTGATGGTGACGGGCGGTTTCCGTACCAGAGCTGGAATGGAGAAGGCACTGACAGATGGGGACTGCGACATGATTGGGATTGGGCGTCCAGCAGTCCTCAAGCCGACTTTACCGAATGACATTCTATTGAACCCAGATGTCCCGAAAGAGAGCGCACGGCTTGTCACGCAACAGATAAGACAGCCTTGGATCCTCAAAATGTTGAGCAACAGATCGGTTGGTGCTGGCCTTGAAAGTGTAAGTGAGATGTATGTGATTGGGGTGCCACTCGCTGACATTACTTCCTTTCTCAGAGTTGGTATAGTAGCCAGATAGAGAAACTCGGTCGTGGTATTGCCCACACGTTTGCGTGAGAATATTGCGTCCTTTAAGCTAGTAGGGCCGAATTATCTAATGCTATATGTCGCCGTCTTTTTTTGTATATCCTACACGGTCATGAATTTCGAGTTCAGCAAAAGATGCCACTTTATATGAACCTGACTTGTTGCTTGACCTTGCTAGAGCGAGCAACGGAAAGTCATTACAGCCCAGACTTGATTTGATTGCGGGTATCGGCGTGGATCAGGCATGGTATGTTAGATCGATGATAATAATCGACGAAAAGAAAACGAGGTAGGAAAACGATCATCGTAGTAGAGGTGATAACTTTAGTTAAAGCTCATACCCCTGGATTGAGTCAGCAGGCATGATGTCCCATTCGGGATTCCACGAGAAGAGTTCGAGACTATCATCTGCCATGCTATTTAGCAATGGATCGCTGTCGCTCAGACCAGACAGGATATCTCCGCAGTTGGCTCGGGTCCATGACAATGGCCCGTCCGTGAACAGTAAATCAAGGATCTCTGCCGTGATAATACTCTCATCAACCATGGCCAACAACAGCGTGTCAGGAGTTGTGAGAGCGGTCCTGACATTATCAGCGAGCGGCCTTAACCGATCAGCACATACGGCTGCCTCGCCCCAGCGCTCACCGATATTGGTGAGAAGCTGAAGACATTGAGGGATTGAGGTATGTAACATCTTATGAGCTCTACCTTGTAGCGGCTCATGATTTCGTGCTGACCAGCACGCCTCGAGCGAGATGACTGCAGTTTCGAAGAGAATGTGCACCCCATGCCAAGGATAGAATAGCCTCCGACGCCGCTCCTGAGCGAGGTAATCTTGGATCAAAATTGATGATGCATCTAGCACAGCCTTCCAGTTGTCTGGACCTCTCAATCTTAGACGGGGCGTAGGCCGGTGGATGCGCGCCATGAGATGGTGAAACCTCACATGTTTAAATTCAAGCATATCATATTGTGTGTATGACTGTGCCTTCTCGTACCACCTTTTCAGTCTTTGGGTGATGCTCTCAATCCAGTCTTCTATCGTGCTGCTGCCGAACTTGGTTAAGTCTTCTTCTAGGTGAAGCACTCTATGAACCTCTGTTTCTAATGCACGATACCGACATATATGGTAAGCCACAGACATCTTGCTCGGCTTACTGGTGGAGTGCCCCGGATTGAGGTTTGCCTTTTCTGTTGTGGGGAGCTGGCCTTCTGTGAGTTTCTCAAAGAGTCTCAGAGTTTGAGAAACTTACCTTTACCGTGATTGCCTCCTCCGGAAATGACAGTGGAAGGTGGAGGTTCGTACATAATGACCTCTCCATACCGTACGCTACCCAAAATAGTACGCTTCGCTGACAAGGCTCTCCTTGAATCTGTTGATTGCACTCCATATAGAGCCCCAGATTGAGGACAATACGAACAGCGTTAGAAATGCATGTCCAATTGTCTACTCTCTCCGGGCACATATGTGCATAGTGAGCTAAGAGTAAAGAAACCTGTAGTGCCTGTATTTCGCTATGATCTGTTATGGCCTGTAGGTGCGTCAAGGCCGCGTTATAGAAAGACTCTGAAGCCGCTCGAGCTTGATAATCGGCTTTCCATGTCAATGTCATGGCAGAAATTGCCAGTGCTATAAGCAATACAAAATACTCGAAATGCCCCAAACCAGCATCAGTGGGCACGTGGTGGATTAGTAGTGCCTTTGGGTCCTTCAAATCCTGACGCTGGATTCTGTCGAGTATTTTCGTCCAGGGTTGCGTCGCACGCGCGGGTGAGGACGAAGTCGCAGTCGATGTTCTCAGTCTCGACTAGCTCCTTTACGGCGTGGACTTGAGAGGCTTCGAATTTGGCTACCTCTACGGCGGCCTTGACACCGTACTTTTTGATATGTTTGGGGAGATTGAGGTAGACGTCTGGTTTGAGATGCCCGCCTGGTTGGGTGGTTAGTGAGCGATGGGATGTGGCAGGGTATGAATTCACCATTGCGACCTGTAGCTCCAGAGCATGCTTCTCGTGCTTCAAGGATTACCACTGATGGCGGCGAGGGGTTGTCCTTGTAGAGGAAATGTGCTAGGGCTGCTCCTGCGAAGCCCGCTCCAATTATGAGGATGTCGCATTCAGTAGGGAGGTCCGGGGTACTGCGGTGGCGGTCGAGAGGATGGGGATGGGTGCGCCAGAAGGGGGTGGTGGAATTGGGGACGGAGGCAGGCATGTTTGTTTGTCAGTGTACGGATGATTGACTGAGAACGCACGTTGTCTTGTGTGGGGTTGAAGGGTCATTGCTTTGGGGCCGTGTTGTATATACGACTGTAGGGGTAGATGGGAGCGGACAGTTGGCCGATCTCTACTCCACTTTCGGCTTATCGCGGTGGGGAAGCTTGCTGGCTCGGGCTTCACCGATTATCTCTGGCAATCAAGGTCATTATCGCTGAGGTATGAAAGGGGAAAACTTGGGGATAGTTAATGGTGGAAATGTATTAGGGAGGGTCATCTCGGCCTTGAGGATTGCATACTAAAGTGCCATAACCGTCTATTTCTGAAGTAGGGTGTTGAGTAACTGCTATTGGGTACCTAAGGGACACGTTGGGGCAGATTAATTTCCTTATCAGATAGCGATTGCTGTTTATCTGATATCAGCACTTGAGGGGTTGCGTCTTATGAAGTCCGCATCTAGATATAAAAATTTTGTACACTTTGATGATTCTCACAGAACAGAGACGTACGTACATGCTCTCAACATGGACGTATCAGACATGGACCGAAAATCGACTGACAAGAATGACGACCCCGTCATCAAGGCTACCAATGTGGAGGTTGGGGACATTTTAGTGTCTGGTACGCTACTTCCTTCGCTACAGCTGGACGTTGTTGATATTATATAGACTATACTGAGCAACAATATAAGAAATTGACCCGGAAGATTGACTACTATCTCTTGCCAATGATGTATGTGCTTAGCTATGTCTGAGAAAAGCTTGTCTAACGGTTCAGGTTCTTCTTCTACGGAATACAGCAGGTAGACAAGACCTCAACTAGTATTCAAGCAGTAAGTATCTTAATTTGGTAAATGAATGCGCTTGCTGACAAGACCAGATATTTGGGATGGAGGATGACTTGAATCTACACGGCCAACAATACCAATGGCTGACCACTATGTAAGCATCAACTTTTAACACACAGAAGTTGCTTATCGTGACCGCAGCTTCTATCTTACGTACCTTATCGGAGAGTTCCCCTCTGTCTATCTCCTGCAAACATTCAATGTTGGCTTGGTCCTATCCATCTATATTACATGCTGGGGTAAGTAATGCAGGCATTCCATAACTGCAGTTGACCAACACTTATTTTCCAGGAATATGTCTCATCTGTATCAGCGCCGTACAAAATTGGTCGCAGTTGATGGCTCTCCGTGCCCTACAAGGCTTCTTCGAAAGCAATATATCTCCAGGCTTCCTCCACATTACAGGTGCCTTGTACCGCACCGAGGAACTTGCCAATCGCTCCCTCTTCTGGCAGTCGTCAGAGGGCTTCTTCTGTATTGTCTGTAACCTTATTTTATACGCCATTGCTAGACATGTTGAAGCCCACGGCGGTATAGCGGCCTGGAGATGCATTTCACTTTTCTTAGGTTCGCTTACCCTGGCCGGTGCAGTAGCCGCCTTCTTCTTGCTCGGTTGCCCACACGAGGTGCGCTGGCTGAGTGAGGATGGGAACGCATGGCGTAGGTTGTCGCTCCATCTCCATCGCCACTGGAATACTTACCATGACAGGTCCGCCCGCACGTTGGACAACCAAGTTGGTCAGGATACGACGGGTAAAGAATGGTCCTGGCCACAAGTTATCGAAGCCTTTAAAGATCCCCAACTCTATTTTTCCTTTGCCAATTCTTTCCTTGGCAATATCCCCAACGGGCAAGTCAACACGCATCTCCCCCATGGCGCGGTCTATCAGTTAATTCTTGGTTGAACACAGAGGCATTACAACCTTCAGCTCTCTCATGTACGAGACCTTTGGCTTTAGTGACTGGGAATCCATGCTTTACGGCTGTCCCAGATATGGTATAACCCGTTTCACCTCAGTTAGAACTTATACTAATCATATATCTCTCGCCAGCTGCCTACGTAGTCAGCTTCCTCATCGTTGGATTATACACTCGCAAAGTCAAAAACCAGCGCATGTGGGTCATGGTTGCCTGCTGCATTCTTCCTTTCATCGACCTCCTAGTCATGTCCCTTCTCCCTAACACGCCCCAATACAAGTGGGTTAAATGGGGAATGTTCATGATGACAGTTGTCTTTTCTATGGCTATTTTCCTGGATTGGAGTCTCAGTATGTTCACCTAATCGCCTATTGCCATTCAGAATGATCTGTTACTGATTAGTCACATCCGGCCAGTCCCCTCCAATGTTGCAGGTAAAACGAAACGATCCGTCGTTTCCGCCATGACGTTGATTGCCTACTGCGCCGGAAACATGGCTGGTGCGCAGGTATTCAAGACCAAAGATGCGCCCCGATATGTCTCGGGAACGGTCGCGTGCTCGGTGTGTTTTGCTCTCGAGGTGATTGTTATTCTTGCCTGGAGAGGTTGGTATATGTGGGACAATCGACGCAGGGAGCGAATTGTACAGAGCATGGGCATCTCTAAAGAGGAGCAAGAACGGCGGGGTAGAGAGTTGGGGGCGCAGGATGTTACGGATATGAACAATGTTTATTTTCGGTATACCATGTGAGCGAGCGTTTTGGGCTCTAGGTAATCGGATCAGGCTCTCTCTTGCACGTTTCTCATTATCATAAAGAAATAGCACTTAATAACGAGGATGAAAAGACTATCCCGTCTGCCCTAGTAGAGTCTCCAGACGCTTATCACCCGAATATCGTTGCAAAGCATTTATCTTCCAATCAACCCAACTCATATCTGCATCTAAGTTTAAGGCATTTCGAAGGCCTTGAAAAAGACCCAGAAAGCCCTCCCAATCTGAAACGTCATATCCACAACAGAACTGGAACCGATGAAGCAGTCTCCCATTCCTGACTATCTCTGCAAGTCCCTTGTTTCCCTTTGCCTCAAGTATATCTGCAAAAGTAGATTCATTCCCGCCAAGGGTATTAACTCCGTCGTAAAAGTCAGAAACTGGGAGAAGCATGACGGGCGATTTAAAGGCTTCAGTCTTTGAGTCTGTATAAGCCCATTCCCAATCAACGATTCCCGTGATATTGTAATCACCATCAACAAGAATATGATCACCCTTGTCATCAGCGTGCCGTAGATAGAATCGTCCGTCGTCATAAGTGTAGTGTTCTATGATCTTTGGGATGCAATCAAGAAGAAACCGGTGAACTAAGAATGCATCTATCTCGCGTCCTGCATAACGTTCCCCTCTTATGATCAATCTTATGATGAGCTCAATGCTAGATTGGATGTAGTCTCTCGGGTCCCTGTATGGCCCGAGGGGAACCATCTGCGAGTTGACGTATTCAGTCAATGATTCCCTGGCAAACGAGGCAATGTGATCAATTCCTGGTTCATCCATAGATCCCATACTGTTGAACGCGAAACGTTCCAACTCAATGTATACATCTGCTAGCTGGGTCATGACTTTCTTCCTCTGTTCCTGAGACGCGGGAGACCAGCGTAATGACTTCCCAGGGAGTTTTGCCATGAGTATATATCCAACGCTGACGGGAGTTTGTCCTTCCAGCGCGTAGTCGAGCACCTTTGGAATAGGTATTTTGGTTTTGCCAAGGAATTGGAGAGTCGCAACCTCGCTGCGCATGATATAGTCACGTAGGTCGGGCGGTGGTGAGGTAACGTTAGATCTTCGAATACGAGCCAGCCACCGAACTCCATCAGCAAACAGAATTTCTATGTGGTAGTTCATGCCGCCCATCACCGATGAACGTGCCGATCTGTCATACACAAGCGGCTGGGGGGAAGAGCAGGCAATGCCATTCCGTAAAGAGCTTGCTTTCTCGAGAAGTGCAGACAAGTTCAGAAATTCTAGTAACCTAGTTATCTCGCCCCTCTCTGCTTCCTGAGAAGCTAGATCGTAGAGTTCCCCGTCCTTGATGTGGAACTGGGTGAGGGGTTGGGTGCATCAGCAAGGACATCGCATATTCTTGGCGTTCCAGCCAGTTCATCAACAAAGCTTTTGGCGGGACTTGGACCTTAGCTGAGTGGGATTACGACTTATGCAACAGAAAGGTAAGGTTACTCAGTACTCAAGTCCTGGCAGATTACAGGAACTCTCATACATGACAAAATCTTGATCCTGCTTCTAGGGCAGCTCATCGTCGCTGCGGTGATCACCTGACAAGTCACGCTGGGGAATCTTGGTGACTAATCCTCATATCCAGACTTTCGCCGATGCCTGCAAAGAACATCCACTTACCACTTGTAGCGCCAATTCAGCAATGCTTAGAAAAGGACATTCTTCATGGTACTTGAGCTGCAGTAATTGGGAAGATGATACATACCTTTCCAACCCCAGGTTCAGTGCCTAAGCGCCGCAAAGTGCGCCGGGCATGCCGTTTCTGTTGAGAGCATCGAGTGCGGTGCGACGCAGTTGCCCCCTGCCATCAATGCGTGATGAACAAGGTGCACTGTAGCCGTCTAAGGCGCTCTAACAGCCCATCCGGTCAGGCAGATGCTGCTATGGATGCGTCCCCATCCTCACTTCACGTCACCCCGAGAGCCAGTGTCGCCAAGGGAAGACAGACACCCAGCGGGGGCATGACACCTTGTCCCGACGACACAGAGACAGCTCCGATCAACTATCGCTTGGACTCAACGCTTGGCTTCATCGATCGCATAAACACCTTCTGCGCTGGTGTATCCCAACTGTCCTCTCGGTGGTCCCCTGCGGGCCCCCCTCCTGCTTATTCATCACCTTTTACTGCCCATGATACAGATGGCACAGCTGCGATTGAATGTGATTTATCCTCCGCTCAAGTTAATCGCGTTCTAGAGATATTCTGGGCACGGTTACTCCCACAAGTTCCAATTGTTCGCCGAGAGGATCTAGAGCGCCCTACTTCCTACGAGGATACTGCGACTGGCTCCCATCCACAACCTCTGCGGGATGCTGTAACAGCCTACACCATGCAGTATATATTCTACTCTGGCCTCAATGCTCGGCTTCTTGGATTGCAATGGAAGCAATTCAATAGGAGCAATCGGTGCTCAAAGAAGATTGGCATGCCTTATTTCCAACGTTGTCTAACAGGCGCGATGCAATATTCAACGTTTGCGAAGCCCTCCCTTCCAATCCTTCAGTGCTACTGTATCATGACCTTGTACTTACTGGACGCCGGACAACACCAGGCGGCGTATAACATGATCGGGCTTGCTGTTCGGATTGCTCGATCATTAGACCTTGACTGTGACCCGCCCCCTCAAGCATCCCGGGAGCAGGCGGAGCTACATTCTCGTTTCTGGTGGACCTTAGTCCATCTCGACTTCCGCTGCTCAAGGCACCTTGGAAAGCCTATTAGTGTACAGCTTCCTATATCTAGATCTTCGCCACCATGTTGGATGTCGAACGACCCGCCCCTTCCGGTACGGTTCCCATATCATAATGAATCGATTCGTCTCACGTGTGCGGCCCTGGCTGTCATTGAGTCAATGGCACACCACGAAAAGACAAGAAAGAAACATGACATCGAGTTTCAGGCAAACATTTTGACAGATAATTTGCAATACTTACGTGTATGGAAAGACGAATTACGCCAAAACACATGGTTCAAGCACCTTCAACTGGATGTCCAAGATGTGCCCGTCTCACGAAAGTATTTCTGTGGTCCAGGAGAGAATGGAGGTGGCGAGGAGTACAATGACTATATGATTAAAGCGCCACTCCAAATTCAAACGGAGGCCCTGCTTGAACTCCAATACCACGATGCCATGATTAGTCTGCATAGAGTTTTTATCCAATTCCCTCGTCAGCCCGCCATGAACCGAGAAAATCCCCTTGCCGGTGCACATGCTGCAACTGCTCTGAAACACGCCTTGGCAACGATCCAAACAGTGTATTCTTGTATGACCGCGCATGATATATTCCATGGATCATGTGAACTTTATCAATATCAGTGGAATGCCGTGCTGACGCTGATGGGTTTTATGTTGGCTTTTCCTTTCTGTCCGCGCTGTCCACAAGCACGAGGCTACGTCGACCTAGCCCTGGAGACATTTGAGTTTGCGGGTTATCAAAATGACGCCGCAGTTCGTGCAGCATGTCTCACTCGTCATCTATGTGAGAAGGTGGACAAGCTGACTATGATATTAAATATTGATCTCCGGCGGGGTGTGACCGAGAGCACAAAGGATGTACCTGCGTCGACAAAAGATGGGTTGACACAACAGGCGAGTCAACAGTCTGGCTCGGTAAATACTAACATGGAGGCAGACAGTACGAACATTGATCATTATGATCATACCTTTTTGTCTCTTCCACAGAACCAGACAAGTGATGATTTGTTTTGGCCTTGGGCGGATCTCGTTGATCCCGATATCTGGCCCAGCTATTGCGATGGAGTCAACGAAGCCTTCGCAGATATTTCTCAAATACCCACAATGACAAATTCTTTATAGAATTTATCTGAGCCTATTACTACCCTCCAGTACCTCCCTGAAAAATGCAACTTCGTCCCTCGCCACGTCAAGTATATGATGAGATAGATTTTGGCCTCCCACTCAATCTCGCTCCCATACTCAGCTGGGAAGTGCACGTCGTGGTATGCCTTTCTGTTAACCTCGCCTGAGGCTTTGATGAGTGGCGGTGATACGTTGCGGAGTAACCATTGATGGCGTAGTAGACGATGGTGGGTTGTTTTTTTGGCCATGATGAAAATTAGATATGCCGAAAAGTACGAGAGACCATCGTAGTACGCGCAGAGCCTCGTCCGAGCAGACTAGACCTCGTTTTTTCACCACCATTATTATCGGACATCTGGGCTTCTTCCATACCAAGTACCTGAATGGGACATGGGGATCTCAGGTCCGTTACGTTTCTGTCTCTATAGCCTCAACCCGACTAAGCTTTATACCCCTAAAACCCATACTCGGGGTCAATATATGCAGATTTATGCTACTTCTTTGTTGTCGAATCTTGCCTGATTAGTGCATTAGTTGATTGAGTAAGACGCAATAAAGGAAATGATGATGAAGGAGATGTGCCACTTGAAAATTAGTCATGATATCTGGGTAACTACTGACTATGATTCGCTCATATCAGACCCGCAGGCGATCCGCTACGTCGCCAAATTCATGCTGCAAACAGGCTTGCTCGGGCAGTTCAGCCGGGTTGAACTCGATCCGGACCCTGACCTCGACCCAAGCCAGGAACACGTAGGCCTCAGGGCCATGGGGATAGGCGCTGAAGACGCTGGGTAAAAGGAACAAAACAGGCCCTGTTTGAGTCAGCAGGGAAGGTCATACAAGCAGAAGGAATAGGCATGTTGGGAGCAAGATAATGGAAAAGAACGGGAAGAGGATGGTGGCTCGCAGGCAGCTACGGCTGCAACACTCATCTACACTTGCTTTTGTTGTTTAGTTGTGGTTAGCTACGGCGACGACCTCCGTGGCATGCGTTGTTTACGTGTTTACTGCGAGTTTGAGGGATCTGTAGGCGTTCTGGGCCATATTCTTTTGCTTCAAACGGTGAAGCACCTGCATAGCTAGCATCTCACTACGCCGGCTCGATCGGGTATAAGAATATGAATTGAATTGAATTGAATTGATATCTGAGTAAGATGCGATGCTTATGACTACATAGGCCAAGGCTGGAGCTGCCAAGGCAGCCTTAAAATCGAACTTTATTCGTCCTCGCTGTCAAGATCATGAGTGGTAAAAAAGCATGAATGGGTATGGACAACTGAAGAAAACTGAACAAAGGAATCAGCTTACCCCCAATACAACCTCTGAAAAGTACACTCCTAGTTTTGCAATTCCACAATATAATACCCACTTCTATGCAGTCTCTAACTCAAGCTCATCACCGTTTAATCTACAATAACCCTCTCCCTAACCCGCACACAAACATCATCACCTTCTTTAATCGACATAATCCCCAACACCGGCTTCCCATCCTCCGCCTCAGGGACACGCTTATCCACCAACTCGACATCAAACCGGCGCAACAACAACGTAACAAACAACATAACAAACCGTTTCGCCACATACCGCCCGGGACACATGGTAGTCCCGCCGCCAAAGGGTCGCCAATTATCGCTGCGTGTCAAATTGCGACCGCCCTTAACGCTGAATCGCTCCGGGCGGAACTCGTTGACCGGAAAATCAACCCCGAAAATGGCTTCATCGAAGTGCAACTGCCGGTACGGGATCATCAGTCGGTTTCCCTTGCGCAGGACCTTGCCGCCGATGACGGTGTCGGATGTGATCATCCGCACTGAAGCTGAATACGCTGACATGCGGATGGTTTCATTCCACATGGCGTCTAATAGTGGGCAGTTGTCATGGAGGTAGGTCAGGTCGGGGATGGGGTTGCCGGAGCGGAAGGCTGGCGCAGTTTCTGCGCGGATGGCGTCAACGTAGTGATCTGGGCCGTAGTAGAGGATGTAGGTTAGGAGCCAGCAGGCTGCTTTGCGGGTGTTTGTATTGATTCTGAGATTGATAACCGGTTTAGCTCAACCATTCCTCGTTTCTCCGTCCTCGTCGCTTTCTCTGAGGGCAAAATAAAAGGAAGATAAAGGAAGAATGAATCTGAACTCACCCCCAATAAATCGTCACCAACATAGTTGCAATATCATCTTCACTGATTCCCAGTGCCCTCATCTCGCTCTCCATCGCTTTAGTAAACCAAGCGTCCCCGTGCCGATCCTCCTGCGGCATTTGGATGTATTTTTTCAAGGCGCGCTGAATCGCATCTCGTGCGGCTTTCATCTCCCCCGCCAGAAAGTCGGGGTACTGGTACAGCACCTGCCAGCTCAGCTCGTCGAAGACAATGAAGGTCTTTGGAAGGGAAGGATCAACCTTTGCCAACTCAGGGCCGAAGTAAGCCTCCTGGCCGGCGCGGGTGAAGAAGTCCGAGCACCATTCCATTAGAGGAAGCACGATGGCGTTGGTGTCCTTACTGTGGCCATTGCTCGTCCGGACTTGGTATGGGCATTCTCTCTGGAGTCCTGCGATGTTCAGTTTGGGTTCCACCCAGTCTAGAAACTGTTTCTCCAGGAAGTCTAGGTTGTCGCCAGGATAGAGCTGATGGATGTGCATCTGTCGTGCTAGCGTCGCTAGTGGTTTCCCGTGGGGATTCGGGAATCCGGCTTTCTGCTTGGGTAGGGGTTTGTACATGGCCTGCACGCAGGACTCGGTGTTTCCACAGGCGCGCATCATCGCTTGCACAAACTCGTTGAAGGAAAGCGTCTCAGTATTGCGGTATGCGTCCGCAACGTCCTGGGGCCTGGTGATGACATAAAGAACGGAATGGGCAATAGTGAGAGCGAAGGGGTTGTTGTTGTACTTGTAGTATTTCCTAGCGTGCAGTGAGCGTTGGGTCTTTATTTGTGTGTTGAGCAGGAATATGGAGATCATACTGTGCGCGGGAGAGCAGCGCATTGGAGTTACTGAAGAAGGCGCCGCCGTGGCCTGAGATTCAGCGTTAGAATTTAGGATAATGACATGCAGCGAAACCAAGAAGCCCACCCAGAACTAGACAGCATTAGCAGTTGTTCGAGATTATTGACAGCAGGCAGGTGACTCACATGGAATCCAATAAGGTAATTCTTTGGGGTCGTTGGGGTAAAATGAGGGCACGATCGAGAATCGCAGTAACCGCCAGAGTACCAGCACGCTGGCGGCAACGATGGCTGCCACCAAAGACGGATGGGCCTTGTGGGTCCAATGCCATCCTTTGGCAGAGAGGTCACCAACCTCAATTAAAAACTCGGATAGCATAATGAGCTGGGAAAACTAAAAAGGGAGTGCACCGGGTGTTTTGTTTCTGAGGAACAGAGCAGGCTGACGTTCGACTTATATATCCGCAGTTTTATTGGATCGGGCCCTAGTGGAATGTAATGAATAACTGGAAGTCAACCCCACCTAACAACGGTCACTTCACTTGAATAATCTCATTGGGTGTGGTGACCTGGTAGTGCTTTATACACGGAATTTCATGGACTTGATTGACTAAGTCGACACTAGCACAGCCTGGCACGGCTGTACGGGCCTGGCCGATACATATAATGACGGCCATGGCAGATGTTGAGGACACCAACAGCAACACACTTTCTCACCTCAACTTCACAAAACAAATATGTACGCGTATATAATGCTTTTATTCTTACTTTCACTTCTGCTACTTTGCATCAGACGCCTTCGTGGTTGGTTTTATTTGATCCGCGGACCCGAGATGATAGATGAAGCATATGTCTCGGTAGGTTGGCCCTCGTTTGCTCAGTCGTACACTACGCTTAACAGATCAGGCCGGTGGGATGCCCTTCAAAGTGCCTACTCCCAACAACAACCACTTGATGGTGACTTCGAGCTATCACATCAAGGAATTGATAAATGCGCCTCTCCAGAGTCTATCCCTTCATGCTGTGGCTAAGGAGGTACGACTTGCTACTTTCCCGTCATACTTCGAAGATTGCTGAGATTAACTAAGAGCTCCTTTGACCATGGCAGATCTTACAACCGAAATACACAATGTCTGGCTTTGAGTGGCAAGACCAGCGTGGGATCGAGGGGACGGGCTTCGTGCGAGCCTTAAGGAGCAGGCTAACTGCTCACTTGCCCGGCATGCTACCCGACCTCAAGCGAATGGTTGAGGCTGCCATTACGGAAGAACTGGGCACACCAGATACAGATGGCATGGTTACATCTATGATGTAGAAGTTGCTGCGGATGCCGGAGCTAACGATAAAACCAGGTTCTGTGCATTGCCGACTGTTCCCGCTGATCAAGCGAGCTGTCACCAAGGTCAACTGTTTTGTCTTCTTCGGGGAGCAGCTCGGTAAGTTCCCATTATGGCAACAGATAAGGCTGTCATGCCAATACTGATGCGATCTACAGCACAAAATCCCGAATTCACCGCAGCCGCCCTGGAATTCCCTCAGACTGTCATTTTCGCTTCGGAGATATTGCGTATCACACCTTCCTTCTTACGGCAGTACGAATGGCGCATTTGGCCCCCAAACGCCGTTTCTCGCTGACATGCAGTAGCTCTGTCGCTAGTTTGGTGACTGAAAGGCATCGTGCCGTCAAGACCCTCATGCGGTATCTCGAGCCGGTGGTTAAACAGCGACTAGCCATGAGGGCTGTGGATTCCACGGAGAATGTCCCAGTAAGACACTTGAATTCGACGAGGGGAATATATTGAAAGCGGGACACTGATGAAGTTGGGTGGCACAGGTGGACTGCATGCAATGGCTTATCGAGACCTCACCCCGGAAAACCCAGTGGACGACCGCGCGCATGGTGGGTGAGATTATTGCAGTCTGGTTTGGGTCTGTGCATCAGTTGGCCATGGTATGTTTGACATAATGCATATCCTTTTGCTTTGACCTTTTCGATTCTCAGAGAAACGGGACTGCACAAAAGGATTTGCCGACTAACCCAGCCCTAGACCGCGACATACGCGATCGAGGATTTATGCTCGCATGAGGAGTACGTGCGCCCGCTTCGGGAGGAAGTCTACGGTGTCGCTCCTGAAGGCTTGTGCCCTGATCTGGCCGCTATGCCACTTCTGGATAGCTTTTTGCGCGAGACCATTCGCTGTACTAACTCAGACGCTAGTAAGTAGAGGCTTCGAGCTGCGATGCCACTACAGCGCTGCAGACACAAGATCTGGTAGCATCCCATGCTAACAGTTCACTTGATAGTCACCGCACGACGCAAAGCATTAACACCATTCACGTTCTCTGATGGGTTACGAGTAGACCGGGGAGACTGGGTCTGTATTCCACAACGAGCAATGATGCGCGATCCGGCTCGCTATTCGCACGCAGAGCAATTTGATGGCTTCCGATTCGCGAGAGCCAACAAGCTCTTAGCTCTAAATGAGGGCTGTGCTGATGTGCCAGAAGTAGCACCGTTGCAGCTGACTGATGTTGATGTGAATTGGCCGATATGGGGTCTGGGAAACACAGCCTGGTGGGTACTACCCCTCATTTCCGTGGTTGCTTTTGGCATGCATACACCGAGGCTATAATCTGACACACATAAAATCATTACCAGTCCAGGCAGGTTTTACGCGACAACAGTGTTGAAGTTGATGATGGTGTGCATCCTCCAGGGATGGGAGTGCAGACTGGCGGACCCTCAGGCTCTTCGGTGGCGTACGTGGCGGTCCAGTGTTGTCCCTCGCACTGGGACGGTGGTGGTGTTTGAACGCCGGCAGATGGAGTCGCCCACCTTGGTCCGGAGGGGGTGACTAAATACAGACCCTAGTGCGTCGATCTATGCACAAATTCGGGCTCTAACCAATTGTTTTATGCTACGTACATTGTTTTCCACTATTACTCGCATGTTTTACCATACCCTGTACTTTCCAGTCTTAGTTGATATGGGATCTCACCTGAATGATTCATTGTCCCCGACTTAACTATCCAAAGTAATGCCTCAATACTGATAGATACAGCCCCCTCACGGGAGACCTGCTCTGCCTAGCCTTGTCACGCAAGGCTCTCATCTGTCACTTGAGTAGAGACTATACTATTCTGTCTACGGAGCTAGGATATTAGCCTTGCTACCCTGCACAACTTGGAGGTTATGAAGCCTCCACTCGGGATATCTGACAGGCAAGAAACACAATATTCCGTTATAACCCGTCACTTCACATTCCACCCTCGCCCGCCAACACTGCACTCAGAAATAAGCTGAGCTAGGTTGGAAATCTCCTCTGTCCGGCATCATGGCTTCCAGCTATACGGGAATTGATCTTTGTGCCTACCCAGCGGGGACGCCCCCGTCTGGCCAGTCGTCGAACCTGGTGGATCCACCCTCTTTGGCAGCAACCACCATCGCGGTGACAACGGTGACTTTGGTCTGGGCAGTCACTGTTACCGCAGCTAGAGTGCATACAAAATTAAGCAAGCTGGGTTTGGCTGACTGTACGTGGGCGCCATTGGCTGGTCTTGTCATACACGTTGTTAACAGCAGTACATCAGGCTTTGTGGTCATTGCCTTGGCATTGTCGGCAACTTACTTAGGCTTAGTTTTAGCGAGTGAGTGGGCTCTAAGACAGGATTATGACGTGCTTCGATTTCACGACTCTGACTCCTCGACGCAGTGCTGAAATATGCCAAACACCAGTGGGACATACCCGCCTGTTGGTTTAATGGCACGTATATGAAGGTACGATCTCATTATTCCCAAGCTGCAGCTATGAGCAAGTTCTATGTATTGAAAGCTCACTTCAGAAAACTAAAATGAACAGATCTTGTACGCCCAAGGTGTGCTCCTCGGGCCCACAATCTTCTTCGCGAAATGCTCCATCTTCCTTCTTTATCGCCAAATCTTCACCATCCAGAAGCCCATGAAGATTGCCATTTGGGTCGGTCTTATCTTCACTTTCCTTTTGTATTGGGCCGGAGTTCCCCTGGAATCCTACTTTAGTGCACCGCACGTCGGGGAGACCTGGGAAGATTTACTCACCAACGGCCGACCCGAACACTTGATCTACTGGGGGATTGTCCAGGGAACCTGCTCCGTGGTATTGGACATTTACATCTTTCTTCTCCCGCTTCCGATGCTCGCACAGCTGCAAATGGCACATCGGCGAAGGTTACAACTACTCGCGGTGTTTTCCACGGCTATGATGTGAGTGTATTTTTTCTTCTATGATTTTCTGCGAGGAAATATTCTCCCTCGCGGAAACTGGAACAAAAGAGATTCATTAGACTTACACCGACCATAGGGGTATCGTTGCTAGTGTCTGCGCGCTCGTCTTCCGGGTGCGTTTGAAGACCACCGCAGACACATCGTATGTGCAGAGCGCGCTATTCATTTGCGTGTAAGTGCCGTCCCCTATTGACCCGCCCCTATCCTCATGCTGATTTCAATATCTCGTACAGTATCGTTGAGAATAACGTCGCCATCATCGTCAGCTCAATGCCCTTCTTCCCCGCATTCCTCCGGGCCAAGGTCCTAGATGCAGTCGTATTCAGGAGCCTGCGGTCTAAGCTCTCTGCCTTGCGGCATAGCTCGGACCGATCGGCATACGCGAAGGGGTTAGACCTCAAGAGGTCGAGCACGAGCACGCCGTCCAAGGGGCAGAAATGGTCCAGCAGGAACCTGCTAGATGGAGTTACGGACAACCAAAACCATGAGTTAGAGGTTGTGAGCAAGTCTACGGTGGCTGTGCAGATCCGTGCGGGAAGCCACAGCACCAGCAATCATGAAAGGGGCATATCGCGAGAGGTGAATATTCAGCAAGAAACCCAGTCGATAGTGTAAGCGACGGGGTACCGGGTGGACCGGACCGATGTGTAGTCCGTGCCTGGCTGGTCGATGAAACTGAGGCTGATAGGGATCACTGTACTGTTGGGTGAGCGTAATAAATGCTTGATACGTAGCCTTGGTGGTTGTGTATATGATATTGCGAGAAATTAGGCGATTATAATACTGAGGTTGTTACATCGTGGTATGGCTCTATCCGTAGTGTACTGCTGCGATAGGATTTTCAACAATACTGTTTTGACGTACTGTTCTCCATACACAGCAGCAACATGTTTAGAAGATTTAGAAGAGAAACCCCGTAAGACAATCAATTGTCCGAAGCTCATAGGAGAACGGACCGTAAGCTGGTGATACCCCGTGCCGCCCCCTTCATCTCTTCTGCCTTCTTTTTTGTGTCAGAAATTAGTGCCGACGATCGTCTGACATGAGATGTGACAAGTAGGTTCATAACACAGTAGCTCTGTGTGCACTAGACTAGTACACTGTAGTCTGGACAAGGTTCCCTAAGCTTTGGTTGGACCTGACGCATTGACGGGCCCACAACACGGTTGGGCCCGGGAATTTGATCCTGCCGTCACTGGCGCCAGTGCTCATTTCGTACATCCTAGAATTAATGCCCCGTAGATACCTGCAAGGCTGGGGAACCTGAACAAGGCAAATTGAAGTCTCGCCCGTCTCCCATTTCTTTTTCTGTTATCTGTTTGTCCTGTCATCTTCACTCCGTCCCTGGTAATTTCCGGTTGGTTGACTGGAAGTAGCGCCTTGTCTGCATAAATACACAACCCTCTCTTCCAACTACCACGCCGGCACCGAACATCGTCACTTCCTCCTGTATCCTTTGGCCCCAACCGCATTCCTCCCCACCTTCAGAACACTGAAACAAAATGCCCAACCCCAAAACCATCCTCATCACCGGCTGTTCCGCCCACGGCATCGGCGCAGCCTTAGCCCTCACTCTCGCCCGCCAGGGCCATTTCATCTTCGCCACAGCCCGCAATACCAGCAAAATCCCAGAGCGACTGAGCGCCTTGGAGAACGTTCAGGTCCTGTCCCTGGATGTGACAGACTCTGCCTCCATCGCTGGCGCTGTGCGCTCGGTGAGAGAACATGGTCGGGGGCTGGATATCCTGGTCAACAATGCCGGGACGGGGTACACCATGCCTCTATTGGAGGCGGACCTAGATCGCGCGAAGGCAGTGTACGAGGCTAATGTGTGGGGCTTGCTTGGGCTGATTCAGGCATGCAGTGATCTGCTTATTGCGACCAAAGGGAGGATTGTTGATATGAGCAGTGTGGGGGCGGTGGTTAATACGCCTTGGATTGGTTCGTTCTATTTCCCTTTTGGAGGAAATTTGCATAAGCTAAGTTACTAATCGTGCAAACAGGGATCTATTCCTCCTCCAAAGCCGCAGTCACCCAGCTCTCCGAGACACTTCGTCTCGAACTCTCGCCCTTGGGCGTTAGCGTGCTATGTATCATGGCGGGTACTATCACCACCAATTTCCATGCAAATGAGCCAGAAGTTGTCTTGCTGCCGACTTCTCGTTATGCAGCTATTCGACAAACCATCTCTGATTGGGCGACTGGACGCGCTGGCCCCCAAGGCTGTTCGGCGGATGACTTCGCTAATTCTATTGCTGGCGATCTGCTGGGAAGTAGTAGTGCTAATGGGGGGTTGGTGTGGAAAGGTCCGAATAGTGCCGCTGTCAAGTTCATGGCGAGGTGGTGCCCGGGGGGTCTGTTGGTGAGTATCTTGGTTTCCAACCGTTTCTTTGTTTGCTCTTCCGGGGTTTTCCGAAGTCCCCCACCGTGATGGTTATTTGATTGGTTGCTAACTATAGCCCTACTTAGGATCGCATGATGAGTAATGGACAGGGGTTAGATGAGTTGGCGAAGGCTACGAACAAGAGCTGAATGACAGTATTGCAGCAAGTGTGAGATTGTGTGAGGGAGATTGTGTAAGGACAATCAATAGTGGAAAGCAAGAACCATCCTGTAGTCAAGAATCTCCTTCCATCGCCTACTTACAAACCACATCACTGCGGAATCTTGAATCCACCCGGCACCATCCTCTGAAACACCCCCGTGGGATCGACTTCCCGGCTGATGCGCTGCAACCGCGAGACGCTCTCGGGTCCATAACTAGCAATCGGATCTTGCCATTGCGCCGCGTAGTTCAGATAGACAAATGGATGATATGCGTCCAACTGATGTGCATCCGCCTCAATACCTGCAAACAGTGTCTTGGCGGCTTCCTCCACGCGGGCGTCATCGGTCGCATTATCCCAAGTGGCGCTCAGCAAAGTCACCACGAGCGCTTTCTCGGTGTCAGACGACAGTCCCATCATGTTGTGACCTGCAGGCGCCCGTCCACAAATGGCGGCGGGTAATGGCTCTAGGGATATCGACCACACGATGCCCGGAACGTCCTGCACAGCTGCTAGACTGGTATTCCACCGGTCATAGGTCGCTTTCAACATGGGCACTGTTGCGTCGTGAGTCGTCACTACGCTGAGCTGTCTGTTTGGTTTGTAGTCAATTGGTATTAGCGGATTTAATGGAGAAGAGGACGACAGAGCTAGGAGGAGAAAGGAGGGATGTAGAGAATTCGAAATAGACAAATTCTTACCGTTTTCCATTTTGGGAAAAGGAACCTTGCTCCAGGGATATCTCGTGCACCGGGGCTACACGCACAGTGCTGTATAACTGAGGGATATCAAAGAAAGCCCTGTACACGGCTGGTGGGGACGGTGGCTGCTGGCTATCTTCTCCGTTCTTCTCGGGTTTCTCCATCTCCCCGGTGTACACAATGCTGTTCACCACCGCGGCTCCCTTACCTCCGGCAAATCCAAAACTGGTGATTAACGAGGCATTCTCATCATAGTGGCTCGCTGCCTTGGGATCAGCCAGCTCCGCAAATGCGTGTAGTTGAGCATCGATGGTGTCTGTACTGCAATAGACAGATCCGCCATAAATGGGGCCCTGCGGGAAGACCCGCAGATAAAAGCCCGTCACGATTCCGAAGTTACTGTTTCCGCCCCCGCGCAGCGCTGCCAGCCACTCGGGGTGTTGCGTTTTTTCATCCCAATGCGCAATTGTCCCATCTGCCAGGACTATCTCTACGCCGACCATGTTATCGCATGTCCATCCGTAACGGGGCGAGAAATACGACATGCCGCCGCCGAGCGTGAGTCCACCCACCCCGACCTGTGCGGCGCGGCCGCCCGCTACCGAGAGACCCAGCGGGTCGAGGTGGGCATAGACGTCTCCCCATGTGGCGCCTGCACCAACGAAGACGGTCTGTTTATCATCGTTGTCCCCGGACGGAGCAAGGACCTTGATCGTGTTCAGAGCTCGCAGGTCGATGGTGATGCCGTGCTGGATGTTCGACACTCCCGCGAAGGAGTTGTGCCCGCCAGACCGAATGGCAAACTGGCATCTAGCTTGCTCGTGTGCAGGCAGAGCCGATGGGGTAGTGACCAGGCTAGTGATGGTCTTAGACACATCCTCTGGTGAGTGCGGGGACACCACGCAGTACGGCTGCAGATCACTGTTCTGCTGGGCAAAATACGACTTTTGGGACGCTTCATATGCAGCTGTGTTCGGGAACGAGATTTTATCAGGCCCTAAAGTCGAGGCCAGATTGAGGCACTGCAGCCATAGTAGAGTTAGACTTTGTCTTTGCATGAGTTTCAGGGTTACACGCACACAGGCTTCCAGCGGAGAATTGCCAGCTGTAGAAGGAGCATCACTACCATTGAGGGGAATCTGTTCCAACATCGTGAGGCGAGGATACGAGGAGGAATAGGCTGAGAACGAATGATGGAACGTTGGGAAGGAAGGGAAGACGGGAAGGATGGGAGGATGGATGCAGGAGGGCGCAGTGGGTTTTAACGGGTAGGCTCATGGTTTAGTTGCTGCTAAATTAGTGCTGTGCTTACGGCTGTACGGGGGTCGTAAACCTAGAGATTTAGCGGTATCTACCCCCCTTTCAACTCTAGGCAAGGATTGGTGTTTGCTTAAAGATGACTGCAGATCGCTTTCCCTTCCGCTCTGGTTCTTTTCTTTTCCTCCCACACATAACCCCCTCTTTCCCATTCGACCATCACCCTTGTCTTTAGTACCAGCGACATGTTCCTCTCCCTGTTTGTAGCTGCGGCATTTCTGGCTATACCTTCAACCGGTCGCGCACCATCTAGCTGCGTAAAAGCCTCTCTTTTCATGTGCTTCTAGACAAAATGACTGATTGCAGTTTCAGTGTGCAAGCCTGGTCTCCTCATTGGGCTCCAAAATTTCGTATCCCAGTAGTACTTCCTACAACAAGTCAATTCAATCATACTGGTCTCAGCAGGAGCAGTCGATTTCACCCGCTTGCGTGCTGTCCGCAACATCCTCCCAGGATGTGTCCACAGCACTGAAACTGCTTACTTCGGGAGACTGCAAGTTTGCAGTTCGGAGTGGCGGCCATGCTGCCATTGCAGGGCACGCTAATATCCAAGGTGGTGTCACCATTGACCTCACAGCCCTGAATCATATTGTCCCTTCAGCGGATCACTTGTCTGTGTCAATTGGGCCTGGCAACACCTGGGGCAGGGTGTACACTGCATTGGATGGACTCAATGTCTCTGTACCTGGCGGGCGCGACAGCCCAGTAGGCGTTGGCGGCCTGACTCTCGGAGGTGAGTGTCAACCTTGCGATGGGCTGTTTTTTCTTATCATTGACCCTTCCCTCTTCCATTGCTCCACGAAGGTGGATTCGGCTACTTCGCAACACTGGCGGGCTTCGCATGCGACAACATCCTACAATACGAGGTCGTGCTCGCTAGCGGCGAGATTGTTCAGGCTACGAGTCAAGAGAACCACGACCTCTGGCTAGCTCTGAAGGGCGGCTCCAGCAACTTTGGGATCGTCACCAACTTCAACTTCCAGACCTTCCCACTGGGTGGTGTCTGGGGAGGCGATGCCTACTTCGCCATTGGCACAGTAAACCAGCAACTCTCGGCTTTGTATAACTTCACCGCCAACCGAAACTACGACCGCCAGGCGGGCCTGATGGTTAATCTAGCCTACACCCCCTCCACGGGGCCAATACTAACCAACACCTACGCCTATGCAGCGCCGGTAGCCTACCCTAGCGCTTTTGAAGAGTTTACTGCCATCCCGCAGCTCTCCAACACCACGCAGATCTCCAGCTTAGCTACTTTAGCCATAGCCGAGGGTTCCGCATCGCCAAACGGCTATCAACAAATCACCTTTGCGGTGACAGTCAAGAACAGCCTCCCGATGCTGAAGTCACTCTTCGAGCTGTGGAACGCCAGCAGCAATGCTGTGGCTGGCATCGCCGGCATCGAATGGACCATCACTCTGGCCCCCATTGTCCCCGCCATCACCGGCCAGAGCGCCCGCAAGGGCAGCAATGTGCTCGGCCTAGACGATCTGCCGTCAGGGGGTTTAATATTGGCCATTCTGTCTGCGACCTTCGACTCCGCCGCTGACTACGACTTCGTTGATGACGCCGCACAGCGTCTCGCGGATAACATCGTGGCTGCCGCGAAGCATGCGGGTGCTTACAATGACTACGTGGATCTCAACCACGCCGCGGCTTGGCAGGACCCGATCGCTAGCTACGGGAGCGATAATGTGGCGTTTCTGAAGAGGACGGCTGAACAGTATGACCCTGAGGCTGTTTTTCAGAATTTGATGCCCGGTGGATTCAAGCTCTAGTCCGCGCTCCATGCAGATGGTCTTTCGGCGCGATTCTCAGACCCTAAAAGACGGTTAAGGTTAGCGTCGGGGAGAAAAGCAGCTTACCGGGACAACGAGATGAAAGTCATTCTTTCGAAGTCAATGCGATTGCTTCTACAGAAATCCTGTTGATTGAAAATCGACGATTTTATATGTCTGTCTTTCACGTACAAAAATTTTTTTGTTCAATTCTACACGGCGAATACATATTTACTACAACCGGTTGGAACAGTGTTCCCGGTACTGCCATATTACTGTACAAGCTGACAACTAGAATCCGCAGGTTAATATTGATACTTTGAGGGAAAGTTGGAATTTATTTAGTGCTATTCGTTTTGTTTGATATTACAAACGAAAATGGTGTGTTTTTTAAATTTTTGTAATTATCTAGGAACACCATAGGTAGAATCATAGATATTATAGGATAACAGATCAGTTTGGGATTTTGTTATGCTGGCATATGCCAATATTCCTTTAGCTCAAAATTCTATGATACTTTCAACCTGCATATATCGTTGACAACCTTCAGTATGTCAACTGGTAAATAACTCTACCTGATATCCGGCCGCTTATTGCCCCGCTCCAGTCCCTTCATGATAAGGGCAACTTCATCGTCCGCCACATCAAGTATATGTTGAGGTGGATACATTGGCTCCCAGCCAATCCTCCTCCCATGCTCGGCCGTAAACATACACCTAACGCCACAATTAGCACTGACCCAAAAAGACCCCCACTCAAAAGGTAATAACTCACCTCCCTCCAAGAAGCACTTGAACCTCATCTGGCGCGACACCAAGCGCCTCACCCATCTTTTCCAGCACTTGATCATCAGCCTGCACAACATCCTCATCGTCAACCAAGCCACGTTTCGCAAGCGCCTTGGCCATGGCACAGTAGACTTTGTTCCAGGGAACACTACCCGAAGCAGCAAGGAAGAAGCCATGCTTGCCGTCACCGATTTCTTCTCCCAGAAGTATCTTCCGAAGAATGTGTAGGTACAACTCTGCTGTATCCGAGATGTGGCAGACGGGCCAGATCTGAATTTTCACTGTTGGATTATACACATTCGAGTGGTTGCTAGTACGAGGGAAATACATACTGGATCATCCGTATCAACTTTATACACCCGGCGCAGCTTTACAGCACAGCGAACAATATCAACATCTTGGATCGAAGCCTGATTGCCGAACCCTGCCCCTTGGCCGTATACAAGACACGGCGCGAATATATAGCTCCGCACGTCGTGTGCAGAAAGTGCACGTCTTTGCCTGTTTTCTTCCTGATCTCTCCTAAGCCTCTAATGAATGCGGGCTGGTGCTTTGCAGTGTAGGCGTCGATGAGGTAGTAGACAATGGTGATTTCTCTGTAAATGATAGTCTGGGTGACGGTTTCATGATCGTCGACCTTGAGGACAATGGGCTCCGCACCATAGTTTCCGTACTCGGATTTCTTGGTCCTTTGATCTGACCAGTGCGTATAATCTGCCGTATGGTGGGAGGTTGGCCTTCTTCCACCGTGCTAGGAGGGTGCCTCCTAGGTAGCCGGAGGCTCCGGTGATGAGGATGTTGTGGGACATTGCGTTCTGGGATGTGCAATTGATGTTTTCTGGAGTGAACCCTTTATACTTGCCCTTATGCTTTGTCTGCCTTTCAAGAAGAAGCGAACGAATGGACCAAGCAGGTTATGTATGTTTGGATGTTGAATTACATGTCGTCAATGCGCTAACCGTTTATGGACTGCTCCGGCGGTTCCTATTGGTTGGAGGAATTGTTCTCCGCTCCACTCATACTAGTAAATACTGAAGTGCTCTGTAGGAGATCTCCATGTCCTCCAGTTGGCCTCGTTTTAGTCTAGTTCGAATTCGAGAAGATAGTTTCGATGTCTCCACAGGCCATCAATCTTCTGATTATCAATCATCCCCATATCGCCAGGGTATCTAAATGACTGTTGTGGATATTCTCCAGTCCGTGACAGCCAATAGGATTCACGGGAGCATGCAGGTCGCGAGGACCCTCATACATCTATTTCTATCACGTCACAAGCTGGAGCTATAAAGGCCTAAGAGAACTTGTTCGTTGCATATGAAGGTCCGGTATAATATCAGACTCTTTACAGACGTTTTATCTGTCAAGTTTGACCTCTACACTCGCCCGTGCCCGCCACTATGCAACATTACATCTCTCACTTCGACGGCATCGACGGCCTCAAGAAAGAAGATGTGCCAATGCCATCACCCTGACCAGGCCAGGTCCTCGTCCAGATCCGTGCTATATCACTAAACTATCGCGATAGAATGTAGGCACCATCTCACCCAACTTTCGACTCTATCTCATGCACCCAACAATTAACATACCCAATCCAGTGATCAAGGGAGAATACAACCACCACCGCGCAATCAAGCAAGTGCCAAGCGTTATACCCTGTTCGGACATGTGCGGCATCATTCAAAGCATCGGAGAAAATGTTACCAAATGGAACATCGGAGACCGCGTTCTTTGCTTATTCGTCCCGGACCACAAGACAGGCCAACTGACTGAGAGTGCGCTTGCTACCAGTTTGGGCCTCCCTCAGCAAGGTGTTCTAGCAACGCATCGTGTGTTCGCGGAGGATGCCTTAATCGAGGCACCCAGGCACATGAGTGATGAGGAGGCATGCACGCTGTCAATCGCGAGCGTTACGGCGTGGATGGCGATCAATGGGACGCGACCGTTGGGACAGAATGGGGGTCGGGGAGAGTACATTCTTCTTCAGGGAACCGGGGGTGTTAGTATCGCTGGATTGCAAATCGCGAAGGCGTCTGGAGCGAAGGGTATATTATCTCGCCCACTGGTATATTGTTATATGACTTTGGCGCTGACGCTGTGGCATAGTCATAATTACTTCCTCATCTGATGAAAAACTAGCCAGGGCTAAGGACCTCGGGGCAGACTTTGGTATAAATTATCGTCAAACGCCGGAATGGGCTAATGAGGTTATGGAGATCACGAACGGACATGGCGCGGATATTATTCTTGAAACGGGTGGGTCGCAGACGATGGATCAGAGCTTTGCGTGTGCTGCGTACGGTGGGCTGATTAACTGCATTGAGTATACTTCTGGGAAGACTCAAGCTTCTGGAGAGCAGAAGAATGTTAATCTTCTCACCCTGAGTCGCAGCTTGACTTTGAAGGGATTTGTTAATGGACCAACTGATCGATTCGAGGAGTTGATCAATTTTGATGAGAGACACGGGATTCATCCTGTCGTCTGCAAGGTGTTCCCATTCAGCCAGGCGAGAGATGCTTTCAAGTATCTGGAAAGCGGCTCGCATTTTGGAAAGGTTGTCATTCGAGTTTAGTTGGTGCTGATGTCATTTGATTATGCAGCAGTGAACAGCCGTTGATCGATTCAAGAATGGCATGTTCCTGTGGAAACTATAGAACGTGAAATATCTGTATGTGGTACAAATCTATAATCACTACTAGTGGGCGTCTCGATAAGAAATAGGGTTATATAGTTTATTAACCCCATCAAATGTAGGGGATAGCTCAAGAGTTTGATAGAGCTATATCACAAAGATATCAACAAAAGCACCCCTAGCCAGAACGCTACACAGAGTGAAAACCGCCTATAGACAATAGAATAAACTAGACACGCTCAACATGATCCACGGATTGCTTATCCTCATCATCATTCGCTTGGCCCTTAGCTAGCTGCGGGATCCCCTGCCGCACTTTCTCCTCTTCCGTGGGATACGCATGTCTCCACATGGTCCACAGCGGTCTCTGGAACAAGTCATCGATACTCTCAATTGACCTTCCTTTCAATTCTGGGAGACAGAAGTAAATAAACACCACTCCGGCATACGTCAGCATAGCATAGAGAAGGAACACGCTCCAACCCATGTTCGTGATCATGTCTGGTGTGGCGCGAGTAATACCGTAGTCGACGATCCAGTTGACGAAAAAGCAGAAGCCCATACAGACGGATCTCTATTAGGGAGTCAATTACACGGTTACACGACAGAGGCTCAGCGGGGTATACGTACGATTCTGGTCGGGAAAATCTCTGCCGCCACGATGTAGCAGGCCACACTATGCCCAAAAGACCACCCGAAGGCATAGATATAGATCCACACTATTCCAACAATGCCCCCCGCTGGCGTTCCACCGATAGTGCTAGTGTTTGTGCCTACGAAGCGGAGGTAGAGGGCAAGGTAGAGCATAGCGGTTGCTTGGAGAACGGCGCCGACGAGAAGTGGCCGACGACGACCTACTCGGTCGACTAGGTAAGTGACGTAGAAGATTGTAACGACGAATTTGACGACTCCGTAAACGCCTGTAGTGAGGAGGCTGTTCGACGTTCCGTTTACACCGATAAGTTCGAATATCTCTGGGGCATAGTACTATTGTGAGTTTTGTCAGTATGGAATGTGATGGCGAGTGATAGACACTTCTGGACTCACATTCAAGGAATCAGTGCCGGTAAACTTGTGGAAAAGGAATAACATAACGGCAAGATAAAATCGCCGAGCGTTGCTCTTGATGAAAATGATGTCTTGAAGAACGACCCAGTAGCTGTGTCCTTGATGGCATTCTTGCTCGAACCTCACCTGAGCAACGATTTCCTGATATTCTGTCTGAATATACGGATGATCAGCAGGAAGCTTTCTCAACCGACAGAGGTTCTTTAGTCCCTGCTCTTCCTTCCCGTGGTTAATCAGGTACCGAGGTGTTTCAGGAACAAAAGGGATCATCAAGCACATCAAGACTCCGGGAATCAACTGGATTCCCATTGCCGTTCTCCATTGGGTGTTGTCTTCCTCAACACCAGGAAACGACCACAAAGAAACTCCGTAGTTGATCCAGAAGGCAACCATCAATCCCGCTAGAATCATGAGGTTGTACATGGCTGTTGCCGACCCTCTCACCGACTTGGGTGAATTCTCAGCAAGAAACTGTGGAGATAGCATCGAACTGGCCCCAACCCCCATGCCACCGATGAAGCGACCAGCAATGAGTACTTTGTAGTTGGCAATCATTTGCATCACACCGCCGATAACAAACACAAACCCCCATAGAAAAACAGACCACTTGCGACCTAAGAAATCGGCGGTTGGGGCTGCACAGAGAGAGCCAGCTGATCCGCCAGCTGCGAGCATTGCTGCAATGGTCCCCTATACCGGTCAGCATTTTCCGTTGCGTTGAGGGAGTATGCGAGCATGGTACCTTGCGGCTATCAAGCTCTGTGGTAGTCAGCTTGTCGAGCCCAAATGCATGTTCAAACGATGGTAATGTGAGAATGCCTCCGATATTCCCCGTATCGAAGCCATAAAACCAACCAGCCCAGGCAAGAGTGATCAGAAGATAGGCTAACCTTCCATTGAAGATTTGCCTGGGATCGGTTCTGGCTTCCTGGCTAGCCCAGATGCTGGTTCCTCCAGCCATTGAGACGCGACTTTAATATTAGGACAGCAGTTAAATGACAATACGTTTGGCCACTTGAGCGTGCAATGACAAGAGTCCTGGCCCTGGTCAATGTGAAAGCCAAGGTATGACTCTTCCCACATAGAACGAGATACACCCTGGTTGTTACCGAACATGGGCTCCATTATATGGAGGGGAAGCTGCGCATGATCACAGCCCCTCTTGGACTGTTTCGGCATGATCTGCATTACCCCAGAGCAATAGCTGCATTGAATCCGGGGTAAATGCGGAGATCAGTCCAAGCTATGCTCTGTAGCCGATCATCGGACTGTCCTCCGAGCGTCGAGGGCTCGTCGGCGCTGGGCCGAAAGGCCTGGGTCCTTTGTGGAAATCAGCCAATCAAAGCACTTTCATTAGGCCATCATGTTGGAGCTCTGGAAATAAAGAGAGAGCATTTTGAGCGAGAAGCTGAGATTTTTTGACCACAAATCTAAGCCAGTCGGTTTTTGTTGACGATGGCTACCATATTCCCTTCGGACGGTTCAATCCGTTCAGTGGACAAACCTTACTTCTACCGCGAGGCATACCTGCCTGCGCCCACCGTACAGAGCCATGCATCTAATCTACTCCGAATGCCAAACGGCGACCTGCTATGTGCCTGGTTTGGCGGGAGTCTAGAAGGAAAACCCGACATCAGCATCTATCTTTCTCGGCTGAGATGCGGGGAGAGTGAGTGGACGGAAGCGTCGAAGATGACCCACGACCACTCCCGGAGCGAGCAGAATCCCGTTCTCTTCCATGCACCTACCGGAGAGCTGTGGCTTCTTTACACCTCCCAACATGCTGGAGACCAGGACACAGCCATTGTCAAGTATCGGGTGTCTCCCGATAGCGGCACCACATGGGGCGATGAGAAGGTCTTGTTTCACGATACCGGCACCTTCATCCGACAGCCAGTGGTTGTCCTTGATGATGGAGCTTGGGTAGTTCCAGTTTTCAAGTGTCGTGTGCAGCCGGGAGAGCGCTGGCTGGGAAATGATGACATTTCCTGCATCCGCGTGTCGAGGGATCAGGGCCGTTCCTGGACCGAATCGGAGATTCCCGAAAGCACGGGGTGTGTACATATGGAGATCCAGAGACTGAAGGACGGAACGTATCTGGGCATGTTCCGCAGTCGCTGGGCCGACAACGTCTACCTGGCGACATCGCCAGATGGATTAGTTTGGAGTACCCCACAGCCGACCTCCCTCCCAAACCCGAATGCGGGCATTTGTTTTGATGTGCTGCCTTCCGGTAGGGTAGTGTTAGTTTACAACCATTCTTCTAAACGTGATGCTCTAGGAAGAAGACAGGGCCTGTATGACGATATTGCTGATGGGGTGGACGAAAGACAAAATCAGGCAGCAGCGAAGGACGGCAGGGAGTCGTTTTGGGGGTCACCAAGAGCTCCCTTGTGCGTTGCTTGGAGCGATGATAAGGGAAACACATGGAAGCATCGCATACTAGAGGAAGGGGATGGGTATTGTTTGACGAACAACAGCGAGAGAAAGCTCAATCGAGAGCTGTCGTATCCCAGCATGATCTGTGCTGATGGGACGATCCACATTGCGTATACATTTTGGCGACAGCGGATCAAGTACGTGCAGCTCAAGGAAGACTTTTTTGAGGGAGGGTTGGCTGCATGGTTATCAGCATCTATGAGACGGATGTTGACAAGACTGGGATACATAGAGTAGATGACACAGCCTCGGGGGGCGTATCCTTGCCTGGAACTCTCTAATAACAGATTTGCTTTTGGTTAATTTAGTTATTGTGACGGCATTCATCAGACACATTGAATAGAAAAGACTATCTAGGACGAGTATTCTCACCTATAAGACACAATTTAAGTAGCGATAGGTGTAAAAAGAAAATTGGTGACTCCTAGCGTTTACAGGTGTAGCAACACTAAGATCAGTCAATATCTTTCTAGACTGCGATGTCCTCTCACAGGCTCTTTTGTAAGACGGAGAAATACGCCACCCCGGAAGATATAAACCATTGCACTTATCCAATCTGTAAGATTCTTGAGTCTCTCACCAATCACTGAAAGGTTCATATGGCGGCTCCGGATCAATAACGAAGCACGCCGCAGCCCGTGCGACAGTTTGAAAACCAAGCAATCATACAACCTAGGCGTTCGCAATAGCGTGTTGCTTGGTCCGCAAAGCTAGTATACCATTCCTCTCAGGCCTTCGCACTTGACCAAGCAGTACTGACGAAGAAGCCGATTGTATCTGCAAGAGGCCCCTGTAGGGAGTTATATTCGTTTCCATGGAAGCCATGGCGGATAGATTTGGCGGCTGGAGAGGGTAATTGTCGCGTAAACATATCTTCGGGGACTATGAGTAAAGACATGGTGCTGTATGAATGTGGCAGTAGTCAGTAAAGATTCTCGAGCATGGCTGGGTGCCTATGTATTGGTCAATAAAGTAGTGCTTAAGAGTGGAAAAGTATAAAATTTGTTGGGAAGGGAAGAGGGACGCCCAGTGGTGAAACGAACGGTGTTTATGTTAAACTCAGAAGCATTGATAGTCACCAAACAAAGCTACAGTATGCTTGCCACAGAATAAGCTTGTAAATTTCATCATTTGCGAAGGAGAATGACAGAACTTCAAGTTGACCGGTCTGGTTCATCGAAAGCGAAGCGCAGTAGCGCGCCAATTCTGGAGCTCGTTTCTGAATTACACCGCCTCCTTCCAGAATTGCCTCGTCTACCGACTGGTCGGGTCTTGGCCACTGTTAAGGGGGGTCAAATCACGAATGAGGAGGATTTGGCGTTGGGGTGTTCTGGGGTGGCACCTGCTCTATGTACTTCCTAGGAATCACAAGCTCCTAGTATTCACTACGAGTTTCAGTTCCAATCATGCTAATAAATAACCTTGTTTGTGTTTTATCTTGAGTCGAGATTCCTGGCAATATAAATACAAATCAAAGCTACTGTAAAGCATATTATTGAACCTCTGACTGTGGCCACATCTATGAATATGAGATGTCGGAAACTCGTCATTAGCGACATCCGAGAAGCTGCTTTGATGATGAGAAAGTCAAACGAGATTTCAGTACAAATATAAGACCAAAGTACATAACAGATACAGTAGTTCGCTAGTATTTGCAGCAACTCGTCGATCTTTATATCACCCTCAGGAGCTTCAAACATAATTTAATTATGAAACAGGATCCTTCGATTAGGGCCTATCTGTTCACCCCCTTTGCACATCTGGCAAAGAACTCTCAATTTCCACAAGATGCTTCATCACACCGATAACCCATTCCTGTGTTGCTGCTGATGACGCTTTATATGGCTTTCGAGGGAAGAATGCTGCTTGGTCCGTCACTCCGGCGACTGGTCCGGCAAAATGTGCAGCGGCAAACTTGGTGGGCGCAATGCCTTCCTTGCAGGCCTTTTCGGCCTGGGATATCAGCCCCTGCAATTTCCTCGCTTCTTCCAGCTGCCCGGCCGTCCACAAAGAAAATAGCCTGGCAGTTGATTTTGGGAAAACATTGGCAATTCCTGTCACGCAGCCTGACCCACCTCCGCTGAGACAAGGAATGAGCCAGTCAGATGAGCCCGCATATACCCCAAACTGTTCATCGGTATATTCTTGAGTTAACCGGGTAACCTTGCCAGCGTTACCGCAAGTCAACTTTACCCCGACTATGTTGGGATGCTGCGCCAATGTGGACATGACATCCGAGTTCATATCCACCCCATTGCAGACAGCTGGAAACTAAGGTCCTAGTTCAGCCCACTTTCATGCAAGCATAATGTGGGGAAAGAGAGCTTACGCTGTAGATAACGACTGGAAGAATGTTGCTGTCTGCTACCTCTGTATAGAAGTCCAAAATGACGTCTTTTGTGACTGCTTTAGGCCAATAGCTGGGCGGCAGAAGTAGCCCAAAGTCTGCTCCTGCCTCACGAGCGTCTTCAGCCAGGCGAAGAGATTCGTTGGTTGATTGCCCACTAATCCCTGCCACCAGTGGAAAGTCACCCACCCCTAAATCCACAGCCGCCCGTCGAGCAGTTCTTAACAACTCCTTTCGCTCAGTTGACGATAGCAGAACCGCCTCAGCATTTGTGCCAGCGAGTACGAGTCCGGCAATCCCACTCCGGATGAGATGGGTGAAGAACTTGTAGGAAGCGTCGTAGTCGATTTCCTGCCGTGGTGTCCCTTTAAACAAAGAGATTACTGGGCAATATATGCCCGGAGGCAACGGTCTGCTCTTGTGCGGAATTGCTGAGGTCATGGTTGTTATCTGGAATACTGTTCAATACTACAAACTACTAGTGTCTTTATAACAAACCACTCGGGCTTCTCCCGACAAGATCGGGATAAACATAACCGACAATGCGGGGTAACCAGGCTAAACGCCCAACAACCCTCAGAAACATCAGACAAATGACATGTTGGCGATATCAAAAGCCCTACAATCCAACATGGTCAAGCGCAAGAGACAGGCATCCACAGCGGAAGCCGACGGCCACAGGGAAGAAGCTGCTAGCTCCCTCACGCCAGCTTCGGCCAGCTCCCGACAGCAGCAAGGCTCCTTGGAATATCCCGGTCGGTCTGAGTCGCCTGCCCGTCAGGACGCGGAGAGAAGCCCGCAACAACCCGCAGCAATCCCATCGCTGGTCAATGTCTTGCCCAGTATCACCCGAAAGGTCACTGCATGTGTGGCCTGTCGGAAAAACAAGGTGAAACTTTGGTGTCTAAGAGGTTACATCGCTCAATCTAATACCCACGCCCTAGACAAAATGTGATATGCCAGAAAATGGTCCACCTTGCGTTCGATGTCGCCGGCGATCACTGTCTTGTGTACTGAATCGAAGTCTTCAATCTTTGGTTGAAGATACCAAGTCAGTTTCTCCCTCTTCCGCCTCAAACTGTGTTGGTCTAAACTTGTATGCTTTACAGAAATGTCGAGCACCTGAGGACCGACGTACAGAATCTGCATCAGACCATTGATACCATCTGCCAGACCTTAGACCTTCAACGCCCAAGACCACTTCTAATATCAGCAAATGAGGGAAATGAGGGTCGAGCTATTACAGAAAGCATCGGGCCAGACCGTGAATGTGACGCTTGTCCAACGGAAGGATGCGAAGTATCCCCACCAGAGTCACCCACAGCGGTGCAGGCTCCTATTGATACCTTCCTCGATATCGCCAAACATGGAACTCCAAACGCCACGAAGATTCCACCAGGTGTCACTCGCGCTACTGGCCGAGTGGATCTCATCAGTAAAGGCATCATCACAGTCGAAACAGCAGAAAAACTACTGCACCGCTACTTCTCCCGTCTAGATCACTTTCTCTATGGCATCTGTAATGAGAATCAGGATATAACCCATCTACGCAAGAAATCTCCAACACTCCTCGCTGCCATATGCACTGTGTCAGCCCTCCATGACCCTCATGACCAGGAAACCTACGAAGCGTGTAACCGCGAGTTTCGCTCCCAGGTTGCGCGGTCTCTATTTGAGAAGCGTGACGTGGAATATCTACGAGCCTTATGTATTACCTCTTTTTGGCTTGCAGATGCTTCACGAATCTTGTCTAGTGATGGCATCCGTCGAGCAGCTGATATGCGTCTCCATCGCAGTTTCGACTCTCTTCTTAGCATTCATCCGCCCGAGTATTCTTCCCCATCAAACTCGTCACCAATAGTTGCAGCAGATCGCATCCGCCTATGGTATTTATTATTCGTCTGCGATCAGCACCTCTCGATCCTCCACAACCGCGACTCGCTTCTGCGGAACGATAAGGATATTGCGGTGAGCTGGGAATCATACCTACATCGCGCAGAGGCAACAGAGTCAGACGTGCGAATTCTGTCGCAGGTATCGCTGCTTTTAATCATGGGCCAAGTTCGAGGTGTCTTGGGGTCCGACAAGGAGATGCAGCTTCCATCGGCCCTTACTCATCAGATTACGAATTACTCGCGACAGCTCGACAGATGGTTTACCCGATTCTCCGCCCTCTTCGTCACGAATGCGCATATCGGGGAATTTCCAAGAAGAGGGTTGGAGCTGCACTATCAGTTTGGGAAACTATACCTTGGTCATCAAGTGTTCAAAGGGCTCCGTGGCAATCCTATCCCCCTTCCTTTTCTATCCGCGGCCCAAATGGCTCATGAGGCGACCGTCACCATTTTTGAGATGATCCGAAATGATCCCCAAATGAGCGAGAACCTCGTTGGCATGCCACACTATTTCCATGTAATGATCGCATTTGCCGGTCATTTGTTACTGGAGATATGTCACAATCATCATGTGCAATTAAACATTGATCTACACGAGGAGCTTCACCTCATTAGTGCGGTGTTAGGAGTCTTTCGCAGGATAGAATGCATCACATATCACCCATTGCGCCGAATGGCTCCTGGGCTGACTCGGAAGCTCTCCGAGACGGTCACCTTGTTAGGACTGGACGGTCTGTCTGGAACTAGCCACACTGGCAACATCTTACCTCCTGCGGTTCAACATGCAGAGATAGCTGGTGGTGCAGGACATTCAGCCCACGCCATGGGCTTTATGAACAATATGTTTCTATTGGGCTCTACTGAGCCTCCCGTTGATGATTTTCTGTTCACGGATATGGGAGAATTTACCTTTCCTGACCTAGTGTCGAGTTTCATGCCGTAGGTATGGCAGGCTGGGAAGTTGATGTTCAGAGTCGTTTGCGATGCTATACATATCCGATAATTTCTTCAATACTACTTATGCACTTTTTTTATCAGCACATAGTAACCA